TTGTGTACACGTACTTGATTCGACCACGTGGTAAAAATTACGTAATTTTGTTGTTTTCCTAAAAACCGCTTTATCGCTTACGCAAACCTATTCTCGCGTAATTAGTTCAGGTGTTCTCCTGTGAAAAGCAAATAATTCGCTTATTTGAGATACGGCACTCCGTTTACCGCGCTACGTGATTTTTCGCGTTCGTCCAACTCTCGTTCCACGGGCGAGAAATAACCAAAAATTCTTATTGCAATCTTTTTCTATCATTGATACGATATTATTATTATTAAATATTTTTACAATATAACATTTGATCAAAGTCAAGAAACATTTTTCAACATCTTGTTCAAACTTGGCGAACGTTTTTCTCAACCGAGATAAGATCGTTAAAGCGTCGCTAACACGATTAATCGTCGTCTCTTTTCACGTCTAATGGGATCGTTTGAACAATACCAATTCCCCCTATTTTTAACCCAATCGAGAATCGAATATCTCTCGGCACAACGAACATGGCGGCCGCTTTCGAAATTCCTCGTTCGAGTTCCACCCCGAAAACCGACGTGTCGTGTGAATGCCTCGGTTCTCGGAAACGGTAGAGCCGTGGAAAATCTATGATTTTTACAAAAGCAGGCCACGTAGACTACGCGGTTGGATCGTTCATGAATCATTCATAATGCATGAGATAATAGCCGACGAGCAGTTTCAAGTCGCTCCGTTGACGAATGCGTCCGCAGCGGCTGTGCGTTTCCACGCGCGAGGCCGACAAAGAACGGACGTGTCCCGTCGCATCGCGTTCGAAACGCGCGGCCACGGATTCCTGGTGAAATCGGTAAATCACTGAGGGAAACGTGGCTTTTTGTACGAGCCACGGTATACCCCCTTTTCTTTCTTCCGACTCGAAGGAAAATGATTCTTTTGTGCGGCCGCGGAAATAATGCGCATACTAATTATCGACCACTCGCCGAATGAATAATATTGTTGTTCGAATAACGAGGAACGGATAGGAACAACGGAGCTATACTTCGATAAAGGAAGTATTCCTCTTCTCGTCGGACAATCGAGAGTTACAGTCGGCCGCAAAAGTCTTCGAGCGAGCCTGTCTTGCTTGTGAGATTCTGACAAATTTTATATAGTAAGGACGATTCGAAGTCTTTTTCTTTTTGAAATCGATCATTTCGTATACGATATCTTTGAATACAATTTCGCCTGGAAAATATTCAGGGAAGAGCGGTATTCTCGTTTGTTCTATATTTTACATCTGGTAATAACTAAAACGCGAAACGGGCAAGATTGAACGTAAATTTGGCTCCTCTCTCGGAGATGATTTATGTTAATTACACGGTTGGACAGGTGAAAAAAAGAAAGAAGAAAAGGACGCGTACGTGTAAATTTTCCTCTGTCCCATTTTCGAGGTGGTGGGAACCGGCTGTCAACGCCAGCAGATACGACCAAGCTGTTTTTATTCTCGAATCACCGTGAAATGACGGATTTCTTCCTTTTCAGCTAATCGAGGACGGATCGCGAATAAAAGAGGGGCGAGGCGCGATCGATGAGTTCTTCACGCTCTGATTGACGGTGTTCCAAAGCGTACAACGAAACTGCATTTCGAGTATTCGTGTCCGGATCGTGTTTGCTTCGTGTCACTACGATTTTTCATTCGTATTCGTTTCGATATTACGTCGAAACGGTACTTTCCTGATCCTTCGTTTCATTTTTCTTTTTTTTTTTATTTCCAACGTCTTCCTCGCAAACCTTCATTTCCCTCAACCTCTAATGACAAGTAGTTTTCTTCTTATTTGCATCCTGAATGCTGAACACCGCTGGCTAGCGATGGGATCGAGCTCGAAATCGATTTAATATTATAAATTTTTTTCATACTTCTTGATTCGTAACACAGGATTCGAGAATTCTACGTTCGCGTTGAAAGCTATCGTTTCTTTTTCTTTCTTTTCTTTTTTTTTTTTTTTTTGCGATTTTTAAAAGATTCGAACCTGTTTCAAAATTCATTTCCCGTCGTGCGCTCGTTCCCGTCGCTACACGCGTGTTTCAAGCGGCTCGATCGGTCTTGGTAACCAGATCGCGTTTTACGAGATTCGCCACGATCGTTATACGAACAAGTTATCTATCTATCTGTCTCTGTTAGAAGCTCGAAAGTCCCATCGAACGAAAAGCAATTCTCGTTCGGTCGGAAAAGTCGTCAGGCAATTACAGGATAATTTATGCGAGTCGTTGGTGTACCTCTTCGCGGTTAAAATGGCCGATTAACTTGTCCAAGCTCGAAAAAGATTTATGTAATACGCGTACACGATTACGGTTTATTTAAAACCGCGCGTCGAGCGTTCTATTGCGTCTGGTCACGGTTAAAAACATCGGTTTGATATCGGCCCCGGAGGAATGTCGCAGTTATTTTCGATCCAATTCCAGTTCAGTTCCTCGTTACGCGTGGAAGCGATTCGATTGCAAATTGTATCGGGTCGCAGTCAATGGAACGTCATCGCTTGATTTACATAATCTGATTTATAGCCGCAAGCTGACTCTTATCTTTTGTCCATCGATTTTGCCCCAAATCGAATCATCCTTCTACCATATTTTAACCCACAAACCTCGATATCCCCGTAATTATTCCTTTATCCGCGTGACTCGATAAAGATGATCAAGAAATGTTTTGAGAACGAATTGAAAAAAAGAAATGCATTCCTTTATCCGTGTGACTCGATAAAGATGATCAAGAAATGTTTCGAGAACGAATTGAAAGAAAGAAATGCATTCCTTTATCCGTGTGACTCGATAAAGATGATCAAGAAATGTTTCGAGAACGAATTGAAAGAAAGAAATGCATTCCTTTATCCGTGTGACTCGATAAGGATGATCAAAAAATGTTTTGAGAACGAATTGAAAAAAAGAAATGCATTCCTTTATCCACATGACTCGATAAAGATGATCAAGAAATGTTTCGAGAACGAATTGAAAGAAAGAAATGCATTCCTTTATCCGTGTGACTCGATAAAGATGATCAAGAAATGTTTCGAGAACGAATTGAAAGAAAGAAATGCATTCCTTTATTATGTGACTCGATAAGGATGATCAAGAAATATTTTGAGAACGAATTGAAAAAAAGAAATGCATTCCTTTATCCGTGTGACTCGATAAGGATGATCAAAAAATATTTTAAAAACGAATTGAAAAAAAGAAATGCATTCCTTTATCCGTGTGACTCGATAAAGATGATCGAGGAACGTTTCGAGAACGAATTAAAAAAAAGAAATACAAAGTATTGATTTTCGATAATTTTAATTATATATAATATATATAATTATATATTCGTTCAATTGTATATTCTTAATCGATCGATTACGTAACGAATATGTTACACCCTGATCCCCCTAGGGAGGCTTAATTTCGAACGACACTCGAGCCATTCGAAGTCAATGAGAATCCGATGCTCGTGAGACAGCTACGTGTCCGGCATTCGAGTCACTTCCTCGACTCGAGTTTAGTATTCCATAGAATTTTCACGTAACGCGTTTACTATTCCGGTTTCTAACGGCGGGCATGAATTTTTTTTCCTCGATTGAAACTGCCCGCCGCTCCCGACCTACTC